CTGCTTAGTCTTAACAAATGTGAGCAGGAAAAGGAAGGGAAATCTATATAACTGTGAGCACAAGTAGCGCTAAACGTCTAGGAGAATCTAAATCTCTGGCATGGGTTTGTTCTTTGCTGAGGTTTCAGACTTAAACAATGAGGCCACAGTATTACCTGGCAAGCTGGGTATAAGTATTGGTGACATGTTTGATACATGGTCTTTGTCTTGTATGTAAATGTAGTTAATGCTGGGTTCTGACCATGAAAGAGGGTTTTCTTATGTTCTTCAGTGCTCAGTAATGAAACCCCTGGTTTCTGTAACCTAACACATCTTCTTCATGTTTCCAGGGTACAGCCTAAACAATGGTTCCTGCCCTTCAGTTGTCAGAAGACAGGCTGCAGTTCAGTATGGACTTTTTGGTATCAGTGTTGCAGCCATACAAATACTTTATAACCCACATTCACACTTTCATTCTCTTCACAGAGTGAGATCTACATCTGTCCCTCCTGAGGTTATGTTCTGAACGCTGGTGCCAAGATTCATACTCTTGTCTACTGCAAGTAGTGAGACCTGTGCTGCCACTCACCCTTGAGGGCTACAAGCTCCAGACTGTGCAGTGCTGCAGACCCTGGAAGTGGAGTAGCCATCACTTGGCAGAGATGCAATATTAGTGTTTACACTCTAAGGTGTGCAGAAAGGGTTAAATAGAAGGGGTTTATAGAGTGCAAAACAATCTCCAAAACAGTAATACCGTGATTCAGAACAATGTCCCCCTCAAGCCAGCAAAGACAGAATTTAAGTTCTCCAGCTTCTTAAAAGCAGGAGGATCCATTATTCATATTCACCACTCAAATTCTCAGTCCAGGTATTACAGCTGTGTCCAGTTTTCTTCTTATAAGAAGACCACAGCAGTGTAGAGGTCAGCGGTTTACAGTCTTCTTCCAGATTTGATGAGCCTGTGTAGTCTCTGTTTGGGTAAAATACAAAGCTATTCAGCAGGTTGGTACAAACAGTTCTGTAAGAAGACTCAGGAGAACATCTTCTGTTATGTTTCAATCTGACATTCTGGAATACGGTCTCAAAGACGGAAGAAATCTATGAGATCAGGGTTTTTCCACTTCTGTTTGTCTAAGGTGACAGAAGTTGTATACAGCTGGCACTAAAAAAAGTGCAATTGATAGCAAAGTTCATCTGAGGTACTTCAAAGTAGGTGGGGGAAGCCCTTTTTTTTCTTTTCTAGTTGACAAAGCAGCCCAGGACTGGAGCAATAGTGGGAGTGCCACAGGCAACACTGAAACCAAGTGGCAGACATTATTATGGGGGAGGAATCAGAGCAAGAATAGCAAAGAGAATTGCCACTGAAGCTCAACTAACATTCACTGTTAGCAGTCATCCCAGCTGTTGGTTAAACAGAACAATTCACATGCAACACCCAAGATGAGTAATCCAGCACATAGCAATGGTTTCCTGGTGCTCTGATCAATGATGAAAAGGTGCAGGCAGAAGTAAATTTAGTAGAGATATCAAGAGGAATGATTAGAAGAAGGAAAGATGCAGTCTGGGGCAAGAAAGTTTGTGTAGAGACCAACTCAAACTAAGGAGGAGAAAACTGGGATGCAGGCATAGCATCTCAAAGATGAGGTCTAGAAAGGTGATCTTAGTTGAATCTGGACAGTATCAGATGCAATAGCGGTGGAGAAAGATAGGGGAGAGAAGTTGTGAGGTAGAGTACAGCAGTACTGCCAAATCCTTGTACCACTCCCCCCCCCAACTCTGCACTAAGTGTTTTGCATTTTATCTTTTGTTTTGTGTTCTCAGAAGCCACTATCAGAAATGCTTTGAATAGCGCACAGCACATTTTTTCCAGCATGGGCATTTGCTTACTTTGAGCAAATACATCTGCTGGTTGGCAAAGCCAGTGGCCCCACATAGATCACAAATCCTGAGTTTGAAAGCTTATCTACCTCCCTCATTCCTTGCTATTGCCACAGACCTCTTCTCAGCAGTCTGGGGCTTTGCTCCCCTAATGTTGGGCTTCTCCTCCACATCTGCCCACCCCTGATAACACAGCTGAGGAGCCCAGAGGAAGTTATACAAGATGCTTTTGTCAACACTCCTTCCCCACAGACCATCTCCCACCTCCTTTGTTACTGTAAATCGACATCAGAGCTGCTGAATCATGATATGGGAGTCACAAAATGTTATTTATGCTGTAGAAACAAGGCCCCCTCCCTCTCATTGTTTCCTGCCTGTGTCAAAATGGAGTCACTGATTTTCTGTCCCAGCTCCTCATGCACTGGCACTTCAGGTGAAGCAGGCTGAGTTCTCACCATTCAAGCTACAAGCACAACCAGGATTCTATTCTGACCTGCTAAAAGGCAGCCTTACTGAGCAGACACAGTCTGGACAGTTCAAAAAGCCATTTGGAACCAATGTCTAAGAGATTTGCCTACAGGGTCAGAGCCCCAAGGGAAATTTTCAAGTGACAGAGTGCACATTTAAAAAGCTGGCCTCCCACACACAGGACTTATTTGCACTGCAAAAATATTTTCTTAGGGTGCTTAGTTACAATGGGCTTTATTCCTAAACCTGTAGATGGAGCTGAACTATGGTTTGTAACTGGATTCCTAACAAACCAGAGTGTTAAGGAAAGAAAATGGTGCAGTACCTGGAAGGGGTGCATGGATTGACTATGATTAAAGGCAATGGGAATGACTTAGAAAGCATTAGGCAACATAGAAAAAGACAAAGAGGACACAGAAAAGAGAACAAAGAGACAGGAGGAGCCATGGTTGTAGTCAAGGAGACGCTTATGCCCAGAGACAAGAAGTTCCAGAGAAATGAAATATTAAAGATTTACGGGGAATAAGAGTGAGTGATGTCAAAGAGGAAGTCTGAGAGGCCTGGCAAAACACAAGGAAAGGGAGAGATTATTATCAAGCCATCCAGAAAACTTCATAATGATCAACATTTCCTTTGTCATGAGCATTTACAATTTTTATGTGCAGATAAATGCTTTTCAAAGCTGTATTTTCATAGCCTACTATGAGATTTAACCTTCCTACTCTAAACTAGTACATAGACTCCATATAGATTTGCTAAAGTATGCAGGGAAACTTTCAGCCTTGGACTGTCTAAACAAAAGTACCAGGAAAGGACACTTAGAGATCTCTTGCAGAAATTTGATTCAAAACTCTGCCATCAGTTAGAGAAACCTAGGAAAATTCACAAATGAATCATAGAATAGTTTGGGTTGGAAAGGACCTTAAGATCATTTAGTTCCAACGCCCCTACCATGGGCAGGGACACCTCACATTAGACCACGTTACCCAAGGCTCTGTCCAGCCTGGCCTTGAACACTGCCAGGGATGGAGCATTTACCACTTCTTTGGGCAACCTGTTCCACTGCCTCACCACACTCACAAGGAAGAACTTCTTTATATCTAACCTGAACTTCCCCTGTTTACGTTTGAACCCATCATTCCTTGTCCTATTGCTACAATAGAACTAAAAAACCAACTAATTTCATTCACAAACGAAAAGCAAGTTGTAATTTCTTTCACTTGAATGCTGTTCCTCTGCTGTTCTCTTCCAAATTCTCACTGTACAACCAGCTTACAAACAGACAAATCAGTCCTCAAAAAGAAAATATGGAAATGCAATAAAGATTTTAGTTCTCTATTTCCTGGCAGCCTTCCCCGGTAACTGTGACTCACCTTAAGATTATCAAAATACAGAATAACTTCAAAATAACAAACTAGCCAGGAGTTATGAAATAGTGATTGAAACCATTGATTTTAAACACATTACAGGATTGTTATGGTTGCTATTAGTACTGTAGCAGTAGGTGAGAACAACATTTGGATGAAATGAAACATGTGCAAGAACCTAATTTGAATTCAAAGGCAACAAGAGGATAACAGAACCTATAGGAGAAGTTATTGGAGAGAAGACAAATTAAAAACCCAGCTGGTGGCTTGCATTAAATGTGTGATTTAGGTCATGTGAAAAGTTTCTTTTTTAACAACAAATGACATCATCTCCTTTGCTCAGTTCAACTATCGTTTGGCTCATAGCACACTAAAACACAGGACAAAATTAAAAGTACTAACATAGTCATGACTTAGTCAGACCTTAAAACTCTGCATACACTTCCCTCTCATGTGCTTTATGTTTCTCATGGTTTCAAACATATTCATCCCAATTCTACTGAGGAAAACATCCTGTTGTACCACTATTATATTAAGGTTTATATGCTATAATGTCATAGGCTATTCTCTTAACAGATCTCAAAAGGTTTTACTCTTCTTTAGACACAGCATTTTACTTCAAAAAGGGCACTGAACATGTACCCCCTCCATGACCAACAGAGAAAATAAAGGCATAAAGAGTACAAGTGGCCAGGTAATGACTCAAGGAGCAAAAATCTAACCCAGTATCCTAGGTTACAAGCCAGACCCCAAACCACTGTGGACCATACACTTGTATGTTGAAGGCCAGGTTGGACAGAGTCTTGGGTGGCATGTCAAGTGTGAGGTGTCACTGCCCATAGCACAGGGGTTGGAACTGGATGATCTTAAGGTCCTTTCCAACCCAAACCATTCTATCATTCTATGATTCTATGTTGGAATTGGCAGTTCCATTTTCTCTATGAAATCCAACTTTCCACTGAAGTGATTTGGAGGTTACAGGTAACTGAAGTGACATTTTTGCAAGTACATGAGGATTGAAAGAGCACACCAGATGTAGCAGGATGGGAGCTCAAGACACAGGTGATCAGAAAAAGGAGCACAGCAATGTGGCTTTAACACAGGAATAGGTAAAGGCAAAGGAAAAATTTGGGAGTTTAGAGTGTGATATTATTGGAAGCTGCAGATTAGTCACCTTTCATGTTGGGGAGGAGTTATTTATAGCTCTTTGTTTTCCACATGGTTTGCTGTGGGACTTTGACAGAAAACACATGGTTTTCTATGTTTGGCAATATGGGGAAGAGGATAGACTGGGCTTAAGAGCCAGGCAAGGCTTCAGAGCTCTTATTTTGCCAATGCAGTTAGTTTTTCAGCTGTGGCTCTTTGAAAATCTTCCATTGAGTATCTTTAGTAATTTGTGATAGGGTAAAATAAAATGTTTTAATTTTGGGTAGAATATTCTTTGGCACCAAATGGCCATGAAATTAATTCAGTTACGCATGGAACATTTACTTTGGATTTAGTTCCTCAGGATTAATTTGACATTTGTCAGATTATCACCAGGAAATCAGGATGACCCAAGTACAGACTCCTCACCAAGTCTCTAAAATTCAAACTTGTGTTTATCAACTGTTTAATGCTCTCCATTCCTGAGGGACCAAGAGGATAAGCAGATGGTCTGCAAAGCAAAACTAATATTTGAGGCTTGATGCAAGATATTCATTTTGGCTAAGAGGCATGTACAATCTTGCCTGCTGTTTATTTCCATCACTCAACAAATGGGCTGCAAAATAGCTGTTCCTGGTCATCATGTGCCTATCCTAGGATGGGCTTTGTTATGCAATTGAACCTGCTGTAGAACAATAAAGGAACAGTCATTATTTGGGTAATACAGAGCAAAATGGTTGTTTGACAGGTCTTTCAACTACAGAGGTTAGGGCTGTTTCTGCTGCAGGATGGACACAAGTTCAAATTAGGATAGGTGAGACAGAGACTCATTATCTGAAAAGGCTTTTTCCCTGAGAGATTATTTAAGCACAAAATCTTCAAGTCCCTCACATCCGTCATGAAGGAGCTGCTTCTTCAAAGCCTGCTAAAAGGGGGCTGGCCCTGCTAACAGGCGAGGAGATGGTCTCAATGCACTAATGGTTCTTTCCATCCAAATTTCCTGTGTGTGTCACAGCTGCTGGTCTGTGCAGCTGTCTCTGGTTTGTGTGTTTTTTTGTCTACTCCATCTCATGTTTATAAATGGCTTATCATTTTATGCTGCAGATGAGGGAGATGAACAGTAAGAAATACTACTCTGATTTCTGATCACAAAACGCCCGACAAATAAATATCTCTCCTGTTTGTTTGGAATAGTAAATACCAACACATTCTTACTCAGACAGACTTTTACCCTTGGGCTTTAGATTTTCCTTTGTTTTCTTTTTGCTCTCCAGGCACATATGGTCAGGGATTTATCCCCTGCCAAAGGCTTTAGAAGGCCTCACTCCTTGTGAACTCCAGTGAGCGTCACTCTTCCCTCTGTAGTGATGATTTACAGGAAATGCATAAAAGGGTACAATCAGTTTCCATATTTATTCAAAGGCTCCAAAAAATTTCAAGGCAGATGTGGAGCAGTAAGGCCTTTTAGGGATGGAGCATTATGGAAGCTGCACCAGCCTCTGGGTACAATGAATATATCCCCCTGGGGCATGGTGGGAGGCACTGGTTTTAGTCATGGCAGACTGAAGCAGGTGCTATCACCCTCTGATTCCTTCAGCTTTCTCTCATTTCATTCAGCAGTTCTCAGTCAAATTCACTTCTCGTCACATACAGGATGAGATAACGGCTTGAGACAAAAAGAAATGACTGATGAAAAGCCCATCCCAACCACTCCAGCGCTCACACACTGTGGCAGGTAGTAGATTTGCACTGGTTTGTAAGAGCATTGCTCCATAATTTTCCATCCTCATGCTGCCCACCCATCTTGTGTTCATGTCATCCTCTTTTTCCCTTTTCATTCTTTGGGCAGATAGACCTCAGTTGCTGAGTGTTGCTTCAGTGTAAAATAACACATGGTGCTTGTGGTGTGGGAAGGAAGCTGGCTGTGAGAGATAAAGGTTGAGGTTTAGAGCAGACCGACTGTTACACTCCTGGGGCTTTGCTGCTCTTTGTATAACCTTGGTGTGGCTGGGTGATACAAATCAGCACTACCTTTTTTGATAAAATCCATCTACCAGAGGCAAGCAGCAGCCATACCTCCACAGCTTTTTTGTAATTCCAAAGTGGATGGGTCAAAGGTTAGTTTTCCATTATATTATTGAAAAAGAGACCAACCAAGTTCGGTTGGGGCTCAGAGACTTATGAAAGAAACTGAAGGAAAAAAAAACCAAACACATCAGAGGACCTGCAAGAAACAAAAGCCTTGGGGGAAATTCCAAGATTGCTAAAGAAAAAGTCACTGTGAATGTTTGTGCAAAACCATCATCTTCTCCTTCCGTCCCGTGAAGACTAGTGCAACTCACTTTGAAAGAGAAAGAATCAAGAGAACAAGCAGAACTTCACCCAGCTGCCCCAGTCTGCAAAGCCCCACTGCTTTACTTCACCCAAACCAGCAGGGAGGCAGAAATGCAAAATCATGCCATTTGTGACCTGCAGAAACAAAGCCTAATGTTTGCATGGGTGTGGAGACATAAAGTCAAACTTATCACCAACTGTAAAAAATGCCGAGTAGAAATGTGCTGGTTGCTTTAGTTTTTAGTTAGTTAGTTAGTTAGTTAGTTAGTTAGTTAGTTAGTTAGTTAGTTATCCCTTCTCCTTCATGCAAGACTTCATTATTTTTTCTTCCCAGGAAATGCAAATCCTAAATGAAGGCCAGCTTCATTGCACATAATTGTAGAGACTGAGGCTGATAGTTTCAAAGGCTAGAGTTCTGGAAGATGCTGCACCAAAATCAATCTTTAACTCTTTAGTGGAAACCACTAATTGAAATTAAGACAGCAAGCACTGAAAAAACAGAAAAGATCTGAGTTAATCTCCTCAAAGCGGCCCTTAACCCATCTTAAAGGAAAATTCCTGATCTTCTGCAGTGTTAAGTGGTAAGGAAAGTTCTTACATTCCAGAGGGCTATGGAGTAAGCAAGTGTAGATTTATCAGGCAGGCCTATGGCAGCTGCAGTCCCTTACTTTTGTATGTCCAGAGCAGAACAAACATTGTTCAACCATTCTGCCATCTGATTCAGACTCAAGCTGCCTGCTCAAAGGGAAAAAAGTACTGTGAGCACAAGCACAATGTTAAACAAGGCTAAAACTGCTAAAACATTTCACAAAGAAGGGAAACAAGAATCTGCTCTTTCTCAGAGGTCAGCTCTACCCTGAACATAGCTCTGGCTCCGTCACTGACATAATCCTGACATAAGGAAGCTATTCCCTCTAAGAAAATTTGGTGGAACCAGAATGGAATTGGCATGTAGAAACCCTCTGTCATTTAAAAATACATAATTTGCGTATTTCAGATACTGATTTTATTCAAGCAAATCTAAAGTGTTTGCTTTAAGCAAGAGTAAAGCTGAACGATGGTTTTCTCCCTTAAGCTCTGATTACATCAAGAAAAGCTGAAAGTATTTTACCGCACTGGTTTAACTTCAGAAGTATTACTGATCCTATAAAATACTTTATAGATCACACACAACTCTGAAGAGGACTGGGATATTTATTGGCAAAATATCTAGCAGTCTAAGTGCTCCAGCAACTGCAGTTGAAATCAGGAAAGCTCAGGGCCTATAAAAGGCAAATCTTAAGTGTGAAAGAGAAGAACATTCTGTTTCCCTTTCACACTGTAAAAACTATAAACAGAGTTCAGAGTTTGAATTCAACAAAATTATGCTTCAATTAATGCAATAAAAATATGTTTTGACCTAATGTAGAATTAAGAAACTTATGGACTGAAATATATGTTAGTCTGAAAGTGAGGAAACTGTGTTTTGCTCTTTCAGCCTTCCTTTCATTCTTCTCTTTCTGCATTGCTCCAATTCTTTGTCATTTTTTTTAGCTAACAAAAAATAATCAAATAAACCTGACCCATATTTCACAAAATCACTTCTAAAGAATTCTAGCTTAACAAAATTAGGTAATGGGTTAAAAGAAGCTGCTGACAGCTGAAAATGCAGTATAGACACAGAGTAACCAGATTTCCCTGCCTGTGAATTTAGGAGAATAAAGGGACAGAGTGAAATGTGCAGAATAATTTTCAAATTTAGAAAAAAAACAGAAGAGATGGTTTTGAAGTGAGAACCATATGTTATAGAATGGCTACTGGGGAAATGATCCCAGTAAAAAAAGCAATAAATGATCTTGCTCCCAGTGAAGCTCCTATAAAGCTATGCATCTGTGGGCTTTACCTGTGGCTTTCTATGTTCTGTGTAACAAGAGATGAAAGGAAAACTAGAGGAGCCAGGTCAGAGCCTGCTCAAGCAGAGTCATAGGCAGGAGGGATATCAGCAGCTTGGCACTTTGAAAAAGTTCTCTCTGAAAAAATAGTAAGAAGTAGTTAATTGAAGTGAAATCAAGCTTAATTAACTTAGTAGGACCAGTTTCATTCTTCAAACCACTGATCATGTCCATGTTTTAGTCTGTTTTCCATTTTTTAATCTGCACCCACATGATGGAGCTTAATAGAAGTTATACCTTTGTTTGCAGAGGGAGCGGTTTTCTAGTTTAAAGGGCAATTTTATACCTACTTGACTTGAAAAAGGCTAATTCAAAATCCAACCAATCAGTGCTTTCTCCACCAAGAGGCACGGAAAAAATCTGACTACAAGACAGCTTCCTAAGCACCTAAAAGTCACCAGTCCTGAACACTTTCTGAGTTCATTTGCATAAAATGTACCCCTCTCCTTCTATTTCTTGCCTCACACATTAGATTATTTTCATACTGCATATTAGACCACTAATAAGGTACAAATTTCAGTCTAATAAGCGCACAAAATTTAAGAGGACTGAAAACTCCTGGCTTCAGCACTTGTATTCCTTGGCTCTGTGATTTAGTGCAACGAAAATCAATGATAATGTGTGATTTTTCAGCTCAGAACATAAATTTGTATCTGCAGAAGTTAGTAATACTCATTTTGGATAGGCCATAAGGAAAAAAATCAATCTCAATAAATGTTAAGCTAGAAACAGGCTGAGACAAATCATCAGATCTCTGGAAAATGTCTGGAAGCAAACTGTGATTTGTAGTCAAAGCTGAACAAAGTAAACGAGGAAGAAGTGGTGGAATAGTTTGTTTCTGAATGTTTGGTTTCTAGGGTGGTTTTTCACAGTAACAGGCACAAAAAGGATCCCTGCTTTGCTCAGGATGAGCTATTTTTCACATTTACATGGCCAGGAGATGGAGTCCCAGAAGTCCAACCTTAAGTACATGTGCAATATTCCAAAAGGGACAGAATTCAATGCAGACCTCAAATTTAAGTGAGCTAGTGATTTTTTTATTATTACTGATTTTTTTGTGGATACAGAGTGCTGAGACATATCTTGGAGTTTAAGGATATGTTGATTTGGCCAAAAAATATAATAAATCATTAAGTCCTTCATGGAAAATCTGTGACAAGTGTGTGAACTGGAACATTTTACTAAAGCCAAACAGAATCAGGCATATATTTTGCCTAGTCTACCCAAGAGAAAAGCATAACTTTATCATAGTTTTCAGGAGAAAAGGCATAAACAGCACAGCAGTACTCTGTCCAGTAAAATTAATTATTTTTCATATATTTATAACTTTGAAAATAGGCAATAGACAGAATAAGCAGTGGAAGAGAGAGATGTTAGATCAAAATGAAGAGAATATGGATGTGTTAATATTGGAACTGGTTCTGCTACTAATCTCTGTGCACACTTGAAATGAAAATGTATTTCATGGCAGGAAAAAAACCCAACAGATAAAAGCTTTAGAAAAATTCCAGTGTGTGCTGTTAGGAGAGCTAACGTAATGAGGGGAGTTACAAGACAAACTGAAGTTGCCTGCTGAATGACTGGGCAAAACTCAACCAATCTGTATATAATGTCCCTTCAAAAGGAAGTATTGTGAAGTTTTCATCTCAGATTAAGTCTTTTCAGAGTATCTGTGTTTAAAGCGTTCTAAGCTCCGTTCTAAAGCAATTTGGAGAACAGAAATCTGGATAGATTATGCTGCCTATAGTAACAGCAGCAGGTAAAATGTTCACTTTATTTTTGGTAGAACTGCATTTCCATTAGCCATAGAGTAAGATCAATTGAACTGTGACAGAGAAAGAAAACACATAGGAGCTAATGCTGAGAGACAAAGAGATAAAGCACTTATGCACTCTGCTGAATAAGATATTGGTCTGTAATCCATGTCCAGGCAAGATCACTTAAAGATTCTATGTGCAATTTTGCTGCTCTACTTCCTAGGGATATTTGTTTAACGTTCTGATGGCATTTGCTTCAAACCTACATTTACTCCCTGTGTAGGACTTTCAGCACTC